TGTTTGATGTAAATAAATAAAAAACCCAAAACTTTCACTTAAAAAAAAAAAGCACTGACTACCTTTGCAGAGGACCAGGGTTCAATTCCCAACACCCGCACAGCAGCTCACAACTGCCTGTAACTCCAAGATATGACATCCTCACACAGACATATATACGTACAGGCAAAGCACCTAAATGCATATAAAACAAAAATAAAAATATACAAAACTTCTAGTTATTAGCAGAAGCTCTTTTATAGGATGCCAACAGACAACAAATAAAACAAGTGTCTTGCTTATTTTTCATAGAGCTAGACACATATGAGGCATATGATAACTACTGTCACCACTGCCAGACTAGGTAGAAGATAATGTGTAAAATTCTGGTGATTTGAAAAGACCAATTATCAGTACTAACACACACACAATCTACTTTGTGTGAATGTGCTCAACATTTCCCCTGTTTTTGTCATGGTTTGAGACAGGGTTTTGCCATGTGGCCCAACCTTGCCTTAGCCTCCCAAGTGCTGTGATTATAGGTAGAAGCCACCACATACATTCCATTTCCTTCTTTAAAACAGCTTATGACATGTAGATCCTTAAAGGATGAGAAATTCTGAAGGCTACATAGAGTATTTCTTTTAGCTCATTCTGCCCCCCTCCCCCCCTCCAGTACATTTAAACAGCCAGTCAGGTGTTTGCAGCCAATGCTCTAGGAAAAGACATGGAATCAGTTCCATCTGGCCTGGGATTTAGGGGGGGGGGGCTACTATCATGATTCTTTAAAAATTATTTAAGGTTATAAAGCTGCAAATTCCCCCATGTGTTTAATTTTTATATTTAAAATGTAAATAAAATGTTATTTAAAAAAATCTCCCACATTACTGGATGAAAACACTATAGTTTTATAATAAAAAATATGACTATAAAATGGAAACAATCAGAAATAGAAAATAAATAGTATTCACTACAATGATACAAACTGCAGCAAATACTGTAAGGAATCATAACATTCCCATTCTAAACTGCACCTGCCAGGGTTACAACATTGCTGGAAGATTCATTGGTGCAGCACTTACACAGTGTCAGTTTGGAATATATTTACTACATAATTCTAATTAAGTTTTGCTGAGAGAGCAGGGGAAGGTAAGGAGGGAATATGAATGAATGAGTCCATACTATCACCAATTTTGGATTAGCTCAGCAACCTGATAAGGAAGCACCTGCATAAATCCTCATGCTTCTTTGTCCCTGCCACCGATGGCCTTCCAAGCTATTGCCTTTCACACCTGTGGCACCTCCTCATCTTGCTGCATGACCCACCAAGGCTCTCTCTCCTTGTTAGAGCAGCCTGTCAACATGCCAGGAGAAAGTCCAGCAGTTTGGGCCTCCATCCAATTTCTTCCTTCTCTCATCTCCTCAAATAGGTAGTCCTTAAAACCTCGAGTTACTCACACTCTAGGAATTTGGAACTGGAATGATCATTAGTATTATTTAATGAAACAGAGTTTCATTTGGGAAAAGTATTTTGATTTCTAAGTTTCACAACTTGATTGAGTATAGAACTTTAAAATGATCCAGAAATGACACTCCTAGGTGTATACACAAAGAACTGAAATGGTGTTTCAAACAGATGTCTACACATAAATGTTTCCACTGGTCAAAAGTAAAAATAAGAGCTGTCAATTAGGAGTGAAGCACTGAAACCCAGGTTCTATTCCCAGCACCCACATAGCAGCTCACTGCTGTTTGTAACTCTAGCCCCAGAGGAACCAATGCCCCCTTCTAGCCTCCATGGGCACCAGACATGTACACACGTGGTACACAAACATACAGTAAAAACTCTCTTACATATAAACAAAAACTTAATTATAAAAACCGGTCCATTAATAGCTAGACAGATAAACAGAACATGTACACACATACACTAAAATACATCTCCACCATAAAAAGGATGAAGAGCATGACAGCGAACTGTAAAACTATATTAGGGGCTTGGGAAGGAAAAAATAAAGTTATTGTTTAAATGAGTACAGAATTTCTACTTTGGTGGCAAAAACTTTTGTAGATGGTGGCAACAACCACACAACACTGTGACTACTTTAAATACTAGAGACCTGAATGCAGCACATGTACAGAATCATATATTTTCAAATGGTTAATTTTAGATCATGTAGATTTTTAATCTGTAAATAACTGAGTATAGCCTGTATATACAAGTATACAGAAAAGGTAAATAGAGCAGTATTTCCCAGTTTAAAAAAAGAAAAAAAGATCTGGCAGATGCTGAGTGTGGTGGTGTACACCACAATCCCTGCTCTTGCAAGGCCGAGGTAGGCAGAAGACTGAGTTCTAGGCTGTATAGTAAGACTCTATAAAGAAAAAGAAAATAAGAAGGCAGAAGAAGAGAAGAGTATAGGGAAAGAGACAGGAATCAAGAGCTAAAAAGCTGAAAACCCATACTCAGGCTGTGACTCTGCCTTTCCTAATAATGCTACCTTTTAAGTTTATTTTATTTAGTACTGTGTCTATGTGCCATACAAAAGCACATGCCTGCTCTGTAGAGGTCAAAAGGACAGATTTGTGGAGTTAGCCCTTTCTTTCCGCCTTTCCATGGGTCTTGGGGATCCAATGCAGGTTGTCAGGCTTGTTCTGCAAGCACTGTTACCCACTGAACTACCTTGTTGGAGCCAAGGTCACTGCAAATGAATCATTTCCCCTATGTGAGCCTGAGTTGCCACATGTGAAGGCTAAGCTGTGCTTACCTCTAAGGCTGAGGTTCAGGAAGTACACCCACATCTCTAACATACCAGGAAAGAAATACTATTAAAGTACGTAAGTTGGAATGTACGAGGACCCCAAAGAAAAAATGACAGCTTAGTGCTTTTGCTTTCTAACATACTATCTTGTGTTTCATATATTAACTAGTTTTTAATCTGAGTATGGCTTTTTTTTTTTTTTTTTTTTTTTGGCACTGGAGGAGGTTTGTCACAGTCTAAGGTGATTTTGGGAGCTTATAAAGTTGGGTCAGTTTTAGTCTGAATCTGCAGCAGAGACCTACTCAGGATAAAATTCTGTCTTGTGAATAAGGGATATGATAATCCCCAAAGGGATTCTAGAATCAATTTGTAGTCTATAACCCTCAAGTAAAACGGATCTGTAGCTGGAGAAGCCATTCCAGGCTGCACTGGTGATGTACAGGCTGGGGAGGAGAACCTGAGTTACTTTTGGTTAGAACCCTTGATAGATCAGTTCCAGGAATGGAAGAGGGAAAACATTTTAGCTTCCTAACTACTAGCATAAGGCTCCATGGATTGGCTCTGTATAGTAACATACACTTCGTTCGGTACAATCAGCAAAGGCAATCTTCCATTTATCAATGCAACAGAAGCAAAGCAGAGAGTTATTATCAGTCACCTTAAAATGGCTAAGAAAAGAATTCAAAATTATTAGAGAAGTTATACTATCAAGTATTTGCATTTTAATAGCTAGCACAGCTAATATATTTAGAGTCCTTTAGGAACTAAAGAAAAAATATAAATGTAAAACAATATATTAAGTTATAGATGTATGCCTACTCCACATGACTGTGTGTTGCTCAGAAGGCAGGACACACATAAGACTCGTTAGCGTACTGGTAAACACAGTCTAGCTACTCTGGTGTGGGGACAAGGGCCATGACAAGACTTTGGTGGCCTGAATTCTGCTCAGGGCTTGCACTTGGTGATCCATGGACCCTGAGCACCTGCTACATCTGCCCCTCATCAGCACAAGATGTGTCAATGACTACTTCCTCCAATGGTTTTTTGTTTGTTTTATGTTTTAAATGGAAGAACTTTTTCTCCCAAGTCTTCCAAGAGGCCCACTACTTCAAGAAAAATATACCTAAGCTCACTCTCCTTGAAGAGAGGTGGAGAATCCTAACAAAATCTGAGGAGCCCCAGGAGCAGCTCAGGAGTTTCACAGAACAGCATGAAGCCCATTAGATCCCCACTGGATCACAACAGGCCCATCATCCCTATCTGACTAATTTTTGACGCCTCTAAAACATGCACTTTGAAATATCCTGTATAAGAAGCTTACTTCTGGTAAAGTTATATTATTAAATATAGTTTAAGAAAGCATACAAGAAAAAGCTCAGGAAAGCCTCCCAATTCTAAATCTTGCTATTCTTTAAAATGGCCACAAAGTTAAATCAGCTAATAGGAATAGATTTTTAACCCTCATTTTTGGTAGGTTTTTATACCATAACTTACCTTCAATTTGCTGTGAAGGGTTTGAACTTAATCCTCAATTGTTATTAATTTGTAGGAGTAGCACTTTAAAGAAACACACACACACACACGTGCACACATGTATAGAGTTCTTTTCCAATAGCTTATTGTGCTTTTAGATCTATATAATCTTCATTGGCAATCAGCATTAAATACCACTCTACCCTTCGCTCAGGAGCTAAGTTGCTGTGCTAACCCATCTTTACAAACCTTGCTATATACTTTAATCCTTTCAAATGCAGCTATGACATAAAGTATTACAGACTTTTAAAAACCCGTTCTCTTGAAAAAAATAGTGGAGCATCAGTAACCAGATAGTATTCTCAAATTTCAGTGATCTAGTCCACAGAGCCAGCCCTATGCACAGCACTCTGCTTTACGCAGTACATGGCTTTAGCTGGCCAAATCTTTCTTTTTCCCCAATGAATCAGTAGAACAGTAAAGATCTTACTTTTTTTTAAGCAGTGGCATATCAATGAGGCACAGATGTGTATTCCAACTCTGCATGGATGAGCACACTGTTCAATAGTGCTGGCTCACACGGTATCAGGGTGAGTTATCACTTCCCATGAAGGCGCTCTTATCACCAGGACCCAGAGAGGTGGCTGCAAATCGCAGCCTTTTTATTTTCAAGGCAGTTTTGCTGAACATTCAGGCTTCAAAGATTCACACTTCCAAAACTCTATAAGAGTTTGTGAACGCTCAATTTGCCAAAACTGTTTACAGTGTAATTGGGCACCGTACCTGTGTCCATGAGATAGCGGAGGCGCTTCTCCACCAGCGCGGCACGGGTGTCAATTTGCTTCTGCTCATTCTCCAGTGCTGCCAATTCCCCTACAACATACTGACTGGTGTCTTTGAACCCTTTCTGTTAACGAGAACAAACAGGAAGGGGGAAAATCACTTGTAAGTTGCAATTCTCCTTTCTGCAAACACTTAGTAAAGCACTTACCTAGAGAAGCAAACACACACTTAGACTCAACCTTAGCACCAAATGCCACTCCTCCCTGCATTTAGGTATCTTTCATATGCATCACGTGTAACAAACTGTTGCAAAGACTGAACATTGCAGCTGGTTAGTGGAATATTTATAAATCCACACCCACAATTGTCAGATATAAAAAGTTAACAATTAGTTACATGGCTTTTCCCCCTAAATTAGGTCAGTAATTTAGGCATCAACAAAGACAGAAAGAATTCTGCTTTGGTGACTATTAAATCTTTCATTCAAAAGTACAATATATAGAAGCAAGATTTTACTGTGAGATTGATCTTTAGACTCACATTTCTTCTGTAGAAACAAAAAGTGAAAAGGCATCTGTTTTGTTTTTGTTTTGTAGGAACTATCTCATTTAATATACACATGTATTTTAAATGATAAAAAGAGGTGGAGTATGGTTGGACACGCCTGAAATTCCAGCACTCAGAAGGTAGAGAAGCAGGTGAACTGCCTAAGTGTTCAGGGCCAGCCTGATCTATGTCCTAAGTTCCAGCCTAGCCTGGACTATCTAGTGAGGCCCTATCTAGGAAATCAACAACTGAAAGTTTTTAATGTCTTTATGTTTTCTTCTGGCTAGATTCTGTATAATACTGAGATGAAGTGTTACTAGTCTTTAGGGGTATAAATTTTATCTAGGCAGATATCAAACCTTGCTACTTAGGATGTAATTCAACTAGTTCACTGTTTAATTTTCTCTTTAACCAAAATTATATTTGTAATTGAAAATTTACTTTCAGAGTTATCCAAAATCTAAAAATGCTCCAGTAAATTTTGTTTGAAATACAACTTTTATTATGAAATATCAGTATAGCTTTAATTTTTAATTTTTATTCTATAGGTATATATTATATGGGCAGGGTTGTTAGTTATGGTATTGCTACAATAAATAAAAAGCCCTTGTCGTAGCTCTTGTACCATTTGAGATTCCTAGGTATTAAACGATAGCTTAGTTGCTACTCGTCACAGCCACGATCGCCAATCTGTAAAGCACTATTTATTCAGAGACAGAAGTGGCACAGTCCTGTCAGATGCTTTTCCAGAGCATCTGGTGCAGAAGGCACACTGGTGTTAAGAGAGCTGGGAGAAATTATATTCTTTAAGCAAGATGCAAAACCAAGAGTTACAGTTATTATAAATACCCATGGTCAATTAATATGTTCAATTATAGTTTATACACTTTCTGAACTATTAAAAAACTGTATTTTTATTACCTTTACTTGTTAAATTGATTATGGCAGTTGATAAGTTTAAAGTTAAAGTATTTCAGAAAATTGTCAGTCTGGCACTCTTATAGTCACTGAATACAATGTCACTACATTGTTTAAAGATTCACACAAAATGGACAGTCTCCATTTCAATATATGCTCTTAGGAAATATCAAATTTAAGAGTAACCTGGTGGATGTTTCCTAGGTACCTACTAGACAGCACAGAGCTTTCTAAAGGACTTTTCTGTTTGTAGTCCCATCCAAAGGGATAAAACAAACACTGTACTTTGCAGACAGTACAAACAAGAATGCAGAAATTATAGCAACACTAAACTTCATTGCACAGTACAAAATTCATAATCATGTCTCTTAGTTTTGCAGTGCTGAGGACTAGTCACCAGACCTCTTTAGTGTGAGTGCACACTGCACACAAATACTCTGAGGCTCACTAAGCTACACCAAATGCTTTCTCAGAAACCACCGAAGGTATTTTTTTTGTACTTAGACTTTTCTGGGTCTCCTGAAGGTGAAAAACATAAAATGGGGTATTTTTAGAGTCCTGAAATGCTGCTGATAACTTTGAGTTTCAGTTTAGATGATTTTAAAATTCCAAAAAAAGATGAAATTTTTTAACAGTGAAAATATTCAAACTGTAGATAATACAAAAGTAACACCATTAAAGAGAGCTGCACTTCTTTCTAGACAAAAATTCAAGTTAAAACTTGTTCTTGCTTCTGTCCCACAGCTGTCCATCAAAAGCAGCTTTCTCCCCGCGGTCTATCAAATATTTCCCTCACAAATCAATTTTACACATGATCAGCCCATACCCCTACTGAGCTGAACCTCCCCGTTAATTAAGTGAAGAAATTACCATATATATTATATTAATGCAAACATCATTCAGCTAGTAATTCACGGCTGATCTGGATAATGGAAAGGTTGAACACCCATTAACCCAAGCCAACAAAATGGGTTGGCTGAGAAATTCTAGCAGGTCTCATGTGACTTCTCCCTCTGACTGCAGCCCTGCGGTATCTGCTATTGTAATAATTAAAATCCTCCCGGTAGATCAATACTGGAATCTCTTTATGGGAAGTGCCCTGATGGAAATGTCTCAAGGAAGCTGGGGCTGTGGAACTCTGAAAAATTCATTTTTTTTTTATCTGACAATTATCACCACTCTGCAGACTAATTCAGCAGCCTACCCCTCTCACACTGCTTTGAATGCGCTGGAGATTGACATCTTAAAAAACCTAACATCTCATTTTAACAAATAAAGGCACTATTTCTACATACAGTTTGGAATTATCAGCAATCATGAAACCACACAAAAAATTAATATACATTAAGTACTTCATCTTCTGATGGCTTCCTCTGAGTTTCAGTTATCGCTGCCTTCTCCTCATTTCCTCTCTTTGTATCTTCCTGTATTGATCTCTGTCTTTTCATCTCTTAAAAAAAGGGGAGAGGCATGTAAAATTATTATAAAGCTTGATATTTATATATTGAAATGTGGCTTTACATTATCAGCGTTTCTACATTTAACACATATACACCTACAGTTAAATACCGTTACATCATGAGGCAGTTCTAAAAGCACTCCTACCTGGTCTGCTCTCAACATACTGACTGAAAGACTGGAGCTGAGTCTTTCTGACTGTAGAATCCTTGTTGAACACAACAGGGTTTCTGAAACGTTCTGCTGCTTTTTGTAATCGTTCAGTCCGGAGATCTTCCACGCCATTCTAAAAGCAAAGGAATAGATGGCACAGTAGTCCCAAATATGGAATTGTATGCTAAGCAGGTAATTTTTACCAATTTAAGATGATGCTGACTTTTCTAAGCTACTTGGTAGCATCTTAAAGCATTATAAATTGCTCAGCAGCTAGTTCTTATGGCCAGTCAGCAAATACTATGGGATACATAGTTTAAAACATCCATGACTTCGGTGTCAGACACTGCACGCTCTTGTGTCTTCTGCTGGTGATAAAAGCATCATTTGAAGCCATGTTACGTCCTATGCCCCCACAACTCTACCCCATCAGTTTGTAGTCCTATGGACTTGTATGACAAGAAGAAATAGTTTCCAATTTTATGCCCATTCAGATAACCTCTAATGCTGGGCGAGGGCTAAAAGGTAGGATTATAATACTACCCTACTGAACTGAATTTCATCAGCTATAACTTTCCAAAGCCCGATTTGTAAGTAAGCCCTTTACAGCCAAGGAAACTACAATTATCTTTTCTGGGAGCTTCCTATGTTAATACTGGTAACAAATTCAAATGGTTCTATCAACAAGAAATATCCCAGCAGACTGAGCCACTGCAGTGTGTGGAAGCTGCAGATACGAGGGGCTGTGTACCAAACAAATATTTCATTTTATACCTAATCTTTTATTATTTTTATTAAGTGTTTTGAAAGTAAATAGGGAAAGGCTAAGATGCATGACTAATAGCTAAGCCTGCTGAATGCTGAAACTGGTTATCAAAAGCTCCCAAGACTTTGGCCTTCCTGTGCATTGAGACAATCGGTAATGAGGGAGCCTCCAATGGCCTATTCTCTAGCCTCAAGGAGGCCTGGGATACAGAATCCTCAAGGGAAGGTAACAGTTTATCCTTTTCCACAAACACAGAATGCCTCATTTATAAATGTGTAAACTGCATTTTATTAAAAAAAAAATAAAAACCCAAATCAATGCTGAAAGCTGCAAGAGCAGATGGGCGCTGTATGCTCCTACTAAACACCGTTTTCAAATCCACCACCGAAAAGAGTCTCGCAAACGCAATCTGTTTAAAGGCTATGTTTTGTTGGAATAACTTTAGAAATTACTACAAAAGAGCCTTTTGCAAAACAAAATCAGTTTCATATATGTAGATAACTAACTCAGGAAAATGAAACAACTTTAAATTGTTCAAAGTTATCTGATGTATTTATTACTAGCATCAACCTTATAATATCCTAACTAGGTCATTAGAATACAAATACTTTTGGCTTTAACTTCTTGAAAAGTATTAATCTTTTTACTGTTATTTTAATGATTATCCAATAGTTTAAAACTTAAGTCTTTACTAATATAAACAAATGTGGCTAAAAATTTTTAGGGCTGGCAGCATGCTAAAATATCAGTGTGATTAACCAGCAAATCCCATCTTAAGAAACCTTTCTATGACTAGGAATTTCTGCTACCTTACAAATGTATTCCTCTAAACCCACTAATTCAGTTAGCCTTTTCAATCCATTGTATTATTCTTAGGCAAGCTTCATTCTGCATTAAATCCAGTGCAGAAAGCTAAATTGAACGCAAAAAAGAAAGGAAGAAAGAAAGGAAGAAAGAAAGGAAGAAAGAAAGAAAGGAAGAAAGAAAGAAAGGAAGAAAGAAAGAAAGAAAGAAAAAGAAAGAGAGGAAAGAAAAACCACCAACCCACCACAAGCTCCAACCCAGGCTTCCTTTTATTCTGAGATAGAGAGGAAAAGTCTTCTGCCTCTGCCACACACTTTCATCACCAATTACAGACACGAGGAGCAGGGAGCAATGAGGGCCATTGTTTTGGGGCTTCAAAGCTGCTCTGTCAGGGGGAGGAAATCCTTTCAGTCAGCAGGGCAATCCCCACAGTCTGCAGGTGGGTGAAAAGTTACACAGGACTGCTGTCCCCAAAGCTGGAGAAATGCTAATGACAGAATGTGAGGAGGAGAGGTGGGAGGTGTGGGTGAGTGAGGACAATATAGAAGCCTGTAATAACAACAGTGACACGCACACGCGCCATTTAGTCTAGGATGCTACAACAGGTAAGAGCAACCACGGTGCACATTTTTACAGCAGCGTGAGTTGCCATATTCGACCACACTGCCATCCTTAGGTATGATGGATTCTTAGAAACAGCACTAACTGGGGTTCATCTAATTGGGTAAAAGATTTATGGAGACAGAGAACATGCTAGAATTCTCATGGCAATATTCCTCTCAGCAAAATCTGAGTTCAACAACTGCTCCTATGTACCTCTAGTGCTAGAAGCTAAGCCAGCAGGATTTACCTTTTCTCCTTGCTCTGAGGTATCAGTTGCAGCTTTCTGTGCAGCACTGGAGAGGGAGTTTGGCACCTGTGGCTGGGCTTCTAAGAGCTTCTTCAGCCTCAAGTCCACCAACTTACTATTTTGCTCTGTTAAACAAACAAATACTGTCAATGACAGGTAAGAGGACTGAGATACACAGGCTACCAATTTTAAGTGACATCATAAGAATATTATACTTCAAAAGACACTGGGGCTAGGATGACACACAGACTAGACACACGGAGAGCTCTTTTGCTATATACTTCATCCTCAAGATTAATCCCTTAAAAAACATAGTCAATGGGGCTAAAGATAACAAAGTTATGCTACAGGTAATATTCATTATGATTATCTGAAAAACAGAAATACATGATACACACACATACACACACACATATATATGTGTATATATATACACATATATATGTATATATCTCTGTATACATTGGACATAATACAACAAACTAGATACTTAAGAGATGCTTCTTTGTCTCTTTATTTTTTGAGATTGGATTTTCCCCTATACTCCTGGCTAGCTTTTAACTCACTATGTTAAAAAGGTTGGGCCTAAACTTGCAGTGATCCTCCTGCTTCTGCCTCTACCTCTAGGGTGCTGGGATTACAGGTGTTCACAACTAATAAATCCTGACACTTGAATTCAAATTATATTATCCCTATCATTTCGATGATTTTAGTATGTTAAATTCACACATGCAGTAGCATCTTGAAATGTTATTAACATGATCTCAGTAACACATGCACTATCAGAATCCAGTGTTTAGGTGTGTACATATATATCCAGTATCAAAATAGTATATGCTTGCAATTACTTTCTACTTAAACAGCAGAAATACAATAAAAATTATCATGATTTTAGACTGTATTAAATATAGATAAAAATGGAAAGCAACCAAACTATGGTTATAACTTTTCAAAGAAACAATTTCAAATTATCTTGTCAAGTGCATTAATATTTAATATAAAGTCATAAAATATAGAGAAACAAATATTTCTACTTTAAAATTCACACAAAGTGGTGTTTTTTAATAAAATGGTTGTTAAAGACATGCCAACTTTTGGTGAATAGTATTTTTCACAAAGATTAATAACTTTTCTAATTATAATACTCTTAATAAATGTCATTATCATTACTTCCATGCAAATTTTTCAGTTTATACTGCCAGGCTTCTTTTTTAAACAATATCAGATGAACTATGGTCAAACCAAGATAAAGATTGAACAATTTATTATTAAAACATTATGACTTTTATATACATATTGATAAAGCAATTTTGGAGAAAATAAAGCGGGATAAAGATCATACTATTTTCTGTGTGCCTTCAGATTCCAGGCTGCACCCCTATCCTTTATTATCATAAACCACAGCTATGTATTGGGAAGCCTGCGTCTGCACATGCCTACACTTACTGGTATGCTTAGGAGCTGCATTGATTATGGGGGAGTTGGTAATCCCAGCAGTTAGGAGGCTGATGCAGGAGGATTACCAGTTCCAGGGTAGACTAGGCTATCACAGTGAGTTCCAGACCAGCCTGAGCTACAGTGAGAGTCTATCTCAAATGAAGCAAAACATCTATACCAAATAGGAGACAGAGACATGTTTTCCGTTTTAGCGCTGAAGTCTCTCAAGTTTTACTTTTTATTGTTTACTTATTATTTTTTATGTGTATGTATGTGGACATGTGTGGATTTGCTTGTGTGTATGTATATGTATGCATGTGTCAAATACTGATACTGGATGTTTTATATTTTTGAGACTGGCTCTCTCAGTCAGTAAACCTGGCACTCACCTTCTGGGCTAGCCTGGTTGGCTGGCAAGCTCCAGTGACCTGCCTGTCTCCTGACTTCAGGGCTAGGATTACAGAAAGGGGCTTTTTTACCTGGGTGTTAAAGATCTGAACTTAAGAGACTCATGCTTGCATTGCAAGCACGTTCCTGAATAAACCACCTCTCCATCTCTGAGAGAATTTATTATGTTTTTCCTCAAGTACAAGAGTCAAGCTAGCTAGGCTTAAAATTTGCCAGTTTTAAAAAAAATCCTACAAAAGTTACAATAGTTAATTTCTCCACATTACCCAAGAAATGGCTAATTTTCTTATCTTTCCAATCTATTTTAAGTAAGGACATACATGTAGCTTTTACTGATTTTATAATTCCATAATCAAGAGTCTATTTTCAAGTCCTCACAGGAAAAAGATGTTAAGAGTTCACTTCCCTCTCTCCTCTCTCTCTTCCCCTTGCTCAATTTCTAAGGAAGAAATTTGTGGTAACTGTAAAGGGAGGACAAGCAGACAGCAACACAAATATTTTCATAAAGAGAAACTGAAGATAAATTCTACTGTTTTTAAGAAAGAGCTAGAAGCTGGAGAGATGGTTCAGCAGTTAAGAATATTGGCTGCTTGCCGGGCAGTGGTGGTGCACGCCTTTAATCCCAGCACTTGGGATGCAGAGGCAGGTGGATTTCTGAGTTCGAGGCCAGCCTGGTCTACAGAGTGAGTTCCAGGACAGCCAGGGCTACACAGAGAAACCCTGTCTCGAAAAACCAAAAAAAAAAAAAAAATTGGCTGCTCTTCTAAAAACCCAGGTTCGATTCCAAGCACCCACATGGAGGCACAAAACTGGCTGCTGGCTGTAATTGCAATCTCGGGGGATCTGATACCTCCTTCCAGCCTCCAAAAGCACTAGGCACATACTTGGTGCACAGACAGACATGCCTGCAGGAAGAGCACCTGTAAACATGAAAAAAAAATTAAAATAAAAAAAGGTTTATTAAAAATGAACTAAAAGGTGGTTTTAGTTTTGAGCTAAACATTTAAAATCCTTTCTCTATTTCTTGAACAACTTTAAGTACACTGGCTGCTGTGTAGAAATAGTATATCTTAATACTGAGTCCTGAAGGAGATGCTGACAAAAGGCCATGAGTTTTCTCAACTGCTGCTGTGGTTAAAAAGACCCTGGATTGTTTTCAGGGGAAGCAGTAGCTGGAAGTGGGGGAGACAAAGCAGGTCGGACTGCAGCGGGGAGCAAGGCTGTGTCCTCCCTGCATCATCATCAGGGAAGGACACTCATTATTAGACTTTACTCCTTATCCAGAGTTTTTACTGCTGTGAGAGTTCAACTCGAGAACTGTTTCTGGAGCACTCAGGTATATGAAACTCTGGATTGCTACCTGCTGCTATTTATGGAGGTGAGGCACACAGAATGCACACCCAAAAGCATTTTTATATTTTAAAAGATGAGTTGCAGTGTGACTTACTGACATGACATGAGGTGTGACATTAATCTGACTTTAGGCTAAATAAGGAGTTTTCAGAGTGTCCTACTCTAACCAATTGTTCAGCATATGTGAAACAGTAATAATATTGAAAGCAAGCAAAAAAAAAAAACTGCAAAATAACTCAGTAAGACTATAGAAAAATATCTCACAGTATAACCCAGGTTGGCCTCAAACTTACTATATAGTTCAGGCTATCCTGGAACTTACTCATTATCCTCCTGTCTCAGCCTTATGCACCAATATACCCAGTACTACCATTAGTAATTCTAAACAGGTGAGTCTGACTTATGGGTTTAGATTTGATCTGAATCATTCCATAGTTATGCCACATGCAGTACACAGTAGCATATCAAAACACTGAAGTAGTGAGGAAGCCACTCACTGAATGCCTATAAACTGAAACTTAGAGTGATTACTAGTAATAAAAGGACTTATGTCATAATTTACTCTCCCAATGTTAAGCTATTTGAACATTTAAATGAAAACAAAATAACATGAACATTTATGGAAGGTGAGGTTGGCTAATTAGTGAGGGCATAAAATATAAAAAGAGGAAAAAAATAAATTATTATTGATGATCTAAAAACGTAACCATAAAGTTTGCCATGCAATAGGACATGAAACATTTATAATTTGAAATTACCGAGAGTATCAAGGTCACTTTCTATATTAGTAAGTTCATCTCCACCTCCTACACCAAAGCCTTCAGGAATCTCCTCGTTAGTATCTATCTCAATATTATCATTTTCATCTGTAAGAATATGTAGCAATAATGTTAGTATATCATTCATATTTTTATACCCCTTGTCCTCAATTTCAAAGAAGAAAAACGAATATTTCAATGACAGTTACTCTGAAGTCTCACAAGGATGAAGCAAGTTAAGAACTTGGCCATAAGTGACTTTTCACTAGTGGGTTAACAGTTATAGTTTACACTCTTATGTTAAAGCTCAGTTATCACATCAAAGCAGACACAGAGGTTTGGACAATTTGCCATCTGCTGTCTCTGAATCACTGAACTCATTAAGTCCCTGTGTTTTACTGTATAATCTACTAATAATCACTAATACAATAACATGGAAATAAAGTTGACTTACTGAAAAACCTCTGAAACTCTGAGTTTCATTTTTATCATTTATTCGATAGGATTGTATAGGCACATCCTGTTTGTTTGGGCTTCCCAAGTTGCCACCAAGAATGCTAATGACAGTTAACATTAAACAGGTTCCCATCTACTGTATAAGGCAGTTAGAAGAAAACAAACAAACAAACAAACAAACAAACAAACAAAGGACTGAGAAGAGCCTCCTCCTGGCGTAGGGGAGGCAGGTACAGACCCTGCGGCTGCCTTTAGAGCAGAATCTCAAGCAGGGCTACATCACTCCAGCACAGTCAGCTGACAGCTCCTTCTCATCAACTACGGCCAGCACAGCTATTCCACTCGTTTCCTGAAGGTGAACACCTTAACTTCACGGTCCTCAAAACTTCTCAAAATAATTCTGTAGCTTAGCAAATGAATTAGCAAATAATCCCAAGTGCTAAAAAGGTAGTCAAACACTTCTGCAGTAATCTGTGCCAGAGACATTAACTATTAATGGTTTCAGGACAGCTAGCTATACTTGGCTGCTGTCAATCAATTGTGTTAATTATTGCTAACCACAATTAATCTAAAGCCAAAGTACAGAATGCAGAATTCATTCTTTTACTCAAAAACAAAACAAACTATATCAGTGGTTCTCAACCTGTGGGTCGCGACCCCATTGAGATCTAATCAGATATCCACATTATGATTTGTAATAGTAGCAAAATTATAGTTATAAAATAGTAACAAAATAATTTCATGGTGGTGTGGGGGTCAACCACAACATGAGGAACTGTATTAAAGGTCACAGCCTTAGGAAGGTTGAGAAACACTGATCTATAGTGTTCTGTTAGGTAACTGCAAAACACTGTGCTAGATGCTGAGGAGATAGTTAATTTTTTATAAGACATTTATTCTACACAGAACAAACCTATTCAAGTAATTCTAATGCCATGTAGGACATGAGTTATGTGGTAAAAATATGGTACAGAGCAATTCAAAAGGTAGAAAGATTTCATTTTGCCAATGATGCCAGGATTTCTTTCTTGGAAGTACTAAATTCAAGTTAAGTCACTGAGGGGAGGACACCACAGGCATGAAAGCAGGAAGGGCAGGCTCTGTTCAGAGGATGCCTCCAAGTCCAGTTTGCTCAGGTACAATAACTTAAAGGGAAATGACAGAAGGTGAGGCCTGAAGGGCAGAACTAGAGATAGCCCGGGGGCGGAATGGGCAGCTTAAATGCTAGCTGGTTGGAATGGAGAGATATCAAAGCACTAACACGATCACAATGCTTCTGGAGAGTATGGAGATTTTAGCCAAAATATCTGCTTGTAACCAGCTGTGAAAAGGATGTAGTTCACAGGCAGCAGTAGTGGCACCTTAGGTCCTTTATATATCAGACAGCGTCAATATGCCTCCTAAGTACGGTTCTTAAGTATATGTTCATATCCTTCTGTGAGAGAAACAGTAAGCACTGCACAGACTGTGATGCCAATGCTGACCTAGCTGCTGAGAACTGTAGAGACTAGAAAAGCTGCAGGTGGGAAATCTAGGTGTTGGGAACTCTGTGACCTGAAGAAGCAGAAGAGAGAGCCTAACGTAGAGGAGCTATAACAGGATTCATACCTGACTGAACACGAGGTTATGGGGAAGGAATGAGGTGAGAACAGTTCACTCAACCTCAGACAATGGTTTTGCTGTGGGAAGTGGTAAAGAACAGAAATGAGGAGGGGTACAGGTATTTGTAAGTTGCCAAGTCCTGTCTCGTGTTAAACAAGTGCCATAGGTGTTCTCTCCAGGAAAAAAATGACTTCCATCTATATTACCACTCACCAATAATCTAGATGGATTAACTCAGTGTTTATATTTGTATTGTTAGACTTACATAAAATGATTACTATCTGGGAAGACAAACATAAAAACTGATCTATCAGTTTAGCCTATGAACAAGATTTTACTTTCCAGTCACTAACTGGTTTTGAAATGAACTTTAAATTCTTTTCAGCAGTTACAACATCCCAGCAGCTGGGAAACTTTAATGCATTCTAACAGAACTCAAATACATGTTTATGTGTATGTGTGCACACATGCATGTGTGTATTGAAGGACACTGTATTTATATCTATGTATCCACACATACATTGATCAATATAGTTGTCTTCATGGCTGACGGTGGAAAATCTAGCAGGTGAGCAGGGCAGAACTAACGGCGGAGATCCGCTGCCTAAGTGAGAGTGAGCACAGGATGCTCTGTGCTCTGTGCACAGGAGAACTAAGTACCAGCTATGCAAAGGAATGTGAACATGTGTGCTGGCTGGCTCTGCACAGTCCTATGAGCTGGATAAAGCTCTGACACTGCACTACCACAGCACAGTAATATAACCAATCCTATACACTTTCCTCACAGGTAAATGAAAACAGGATATCTGGTGACAACATAAAGGAATATCTATAATGCCAAGAAAAGAAATCCAGGCTGTCATTGAAAATATATTCAGAAAAATAAAAGATTCAGAAAGAAGTTTCTCACTAAACCTTTCTTTCTGTTTTTTTTTCTTTGTAATTCTTAACCAAGGTATCCATAAAATTCAGACCTTTCAAAGTTCTACAGAGACCAAACAAAAGAAAATGCAATTTAAGTATTACAGTCCTAAAAGAAGAAGAAAATAAAAATCACCGAAAATCTTTAAGATTTTATTTTGGTTCAACACATTTAGTGATTCACACTATGCTGTGTTACCACAGGATCTGGATTCCCATGAATCCATGTGAACTTTGGTTGGGCTATGTAAGGATCAGCAAACTACCAGCCAGGAGCAGAATCTGCCCCATCACTTTTGAGGACAGAAACACTATGCCTGTTCACTCACATATAACTCAAGGCTGCTTTCAGCCTGCACAGGCGGAGTGGGGTGTTTCAGAGGAGACCAGGTGGTATTTACTCTGGACACATTAAGGAGTTTGCTGACGGCTGGCTTAGACAGGCGGTGGAGCTGCTAGACAGGTAAGTGCATATGTATGAGTGTTTGGATCTTAGGAAGACTCTCACAACTCTACCTTTCCCTAAAGGTCTCTCCAACTCACAGTTTACACGAGATCAGGGCAAGACACCAAGGTGAGGGAAGTCAGGCTTACATCTGCTCCTTCATGGACACAGACCGAGACTTACTCCTGAGAACAGAGAACAGGCCCACTCCACTTGCCTCAGGTCAATCTTAATCCTTTCTGTTTTTGTAGTAATGTTCACAAATCGCCAAGTTATAGAGTCATGGTATCCATCCATGAATTGGTAAAGAAATATTCATAGAGTCAACAGAACTGTACAGAACCCCAAAACCAAGAGAATCTCACCATTTCTCACCGTGGACGGAAATGGGATCAGTATGTTATGTGGAACAAGCCAGCCAGGCAGGCAAGCAACTACTGCTCAGCCATGACACGTCCATACAGACTGGAGGTGGTCAGACAGGAGAGAACAGCATCAACCTTGCCCTTACTCTTCCATTCACCTGGTTCACTGCAGTCATTTTGACTGTGATGTGATGTCAAGTCCAGGTCTTTGCTTTCCCTGACTGTAGGAAGAGCTCCAGTCACGGGCTGCAACCCTAAAGGTTTCTTGGTCTAGCCTAATCTTGATATACACTTGCATTTTTTCTTTTCTTTTTTAAATTTCTCATCTGAGGAGAGGGTTGATAGCCTTCAACAATTTGTTTTATTTATTCCACATGTGTGTGCCTGTGTGCGTTAGTTACAATGACTGACAAATACTGTACCACTGAACTACATCTGAAGCCCTCAACTTGGGTTGTATCACAAAGACAGCACCAGCTGCATAGGTAGGCAATGTATCCTGTGCTATTAACTACAACTTTTTCTTAGCATCCTTAACACTGCCATCTTACAACAGTAAGCTTCTACTATAAGGAACCAATTAAAAAGTCTTAGCAATAAGTTCTAGTTTACTTCGTAGAAACTTACTACAGAACAGGCAAGACTCTTCCTCAGTTCCAGCTCTCTCAAGCTGTATGTAAGCCCTCATTTACCTACTCTTGTTCTAGGGTTAACTAAGGACAGGTACCTGACACTTTCATTACATAATTTTATTAGATAAATAGATTATGTATCTTTGAATTTACTTTGAAGTAAAAAGCTCACAGGCCTCTTGAATGTACTCCTAGTAAAAGTGCAGTTTCAAATTAAGGATGACCAAACTGAGCACTGAGAGGAAAAATTAAAACTCTATATTTTATATGGTCCTAGTCTCAACACTGAGCTTAGAGTAATCTGCAAATACTGAAGATGACTGTCTCAGAGTCAGGACAATAGAACTGACCTGAAGAAAACTGATGGGGAACACAGTAATGATTCTTACATGTTGGGATATGAGAAGTCTCCCGCAGCCTAGGCCTGATGCTCTACCTCCTGATGCTGGGGTTACAAGTGTATACCACCATACCTTGCCAAAACGACACAAAATTTTATCACATTTTATGTGTGTGCATGGGAGGTGGGGGGATGACTGTACCATAGACCACATGTGGAGGTCATAGGCCAATGTTTTACACTTTGACTTTAAGATTACACTTTTAGTTTAAGATTCTTTAACTTACACCATGTATGTACAAGGACTGAATTTAGGTGACCAGGCAATGGTGGAAAGTGCTTTTACTAACTGAGCCGTCTCACCAGCACAAAAATACCACTTAAAAGGTCTCATTGAAGGGAAAGGCTGGAGCCGGTGGAAAGCTTAATGGCAAAATGCATGCTTAGCATGCACAAGACCCAGGTTCCATCTCCAACACAAAATCAGACCACATCTCCCATGGAAGAGCTCACCACTAGCAAATCCTACAGTCTAGACACTAAGGACTTGATTGCATCTCACCTACTTTTCCAACAATAAGGCATCAAGGGATATCATAAACCTAAAAACTATAATCTCCTCTTCTTCCTCCCCCCACCCCCCGCCACCTCCTTTGTCTTCTTCTTTTTGAAACAGGGTCTGGTTATACAGCCAAGGCCAGCCTCCAGCTTGAAATCATCCCTGCCAGGGTTACAGGCTTATGCTCCTATGTCCAAGCTGAAGAATGATGCTTGCATTAAAAATTAAGGCACATTGACCTGGAAAAAATAACATTTATCTTCTGATTTACTATATTTCCCTTGGCTTAAGACAAACAAATCACTCATATCAATAGGCTAGAAAGTTTATGGTTTTATGTAACATTTTGAAGTAAGAATAGGAAGTCCTAAAAGGTCTGTTGAAGATTTCTGGGTTCTCTGTAGAATGTGCGACAAGATTCTTTAGCTCACCTCCAGATGCCTTTGACCTTTCTTTCAACTTTTCTGCAGCCATTTCACCATAGCTGGGAAGTTCTGACATCTTCACTCCGCATCGAGCTTCTGCTATTAGCTGACGAGCCCTCTCTCTCAGCTGCCGACGTCTTTCTTCATCTTGCTGCTAAGATATATTGAACAGTTGCCAACTCAGTAATTGACAGAAATGCAATTTCATTTTCAATCTGATCATCGTGATAGTAACTGGTTACAGCATGGTGCTTGGCCCACATTAGAAACAGGACGCTCTGCATCAGCTGGATGTCACACCATTTTTAAAAGACATCTTAGAATCAGTTCTTTAAAATATTTAGAAATCACTGTATTAAAATGTCCATCACAAATTTAAATTAAAGAATGTTTGGCAACACAAACTATTAAAGAAAAGGAAGAAATTATTAATAAAAAACAGACTTGGAGAAGAAAGTCCCAATAATCAGAATAGAATCTTGATTAATAATTAATTTTTTTAGGAATAAAATTTAACTTGCTATTTTCTAATAAAGGTACTAAGCACTGTCTAAAAGTTGCCTTGATACTATAAAATACAGCAATCTGACTTAGATCAAGTACAGGGATGCTATTTTTTCCATAGAGGAAGAGTGAAGAGAGTAGGCCAGTTAACAGTTCTAACTTTAAAAAATGCCAACAATAACAGAATTCTTTTTTTTTTTGCTACATCTCCTCCAGAGGCAAAATAAGGAAAAAAAAACCTGATAATGTCTAATAAGTTTTGAATTTAAAATTACTAAAACCTTCAACAAATAGGTAGATAGTTGTTGACTACTTAGAAGGGGTTATTAAGAATTGTAAGCATGGATTCAAGAGATGGCTCAGCAGTTCTGAGAAGACCCTAAGCTACTGTGAGGACTTGAGATCTGATTCCAGGACCTATGTAAAAAGCCAGCGTGATCTCCCTGTACAACTGAACCCCAGCACCATGGCAGCATGGAGACTGGGGAATTGTTGGCACTTGCTAGGTCCAGGTTCCAAGGTGGAGAATGATAGAAGAATACATCTGAAGCCTTCCGCAGCGCATGTGCGCCTGCATGCGTGCACACACACACACACACAAGACACACAAACACACACACACACACACACACACGAGAGAGAGGGGGGAGGGAGGGAGGAAAGGAGGGAGGGGAGGGGAGGGGGGAGAGAGAGAGAGAGAGAGAGAGAGAGAGAGAGAGAGAGAGAGAGATATCTAATACAATGGGAAATTGCTTGGTAAGCTTGAAAGTTTATAAAAAGCAAGATAAATCCTACAATAAGCTGGCTCCAGTATCTTAATAGGTCTCTCTTCCCTAACATTTTCTAACCTCCATAAAACATGTCCATACTAAATATTTAATAGCCGTGGCTTGGAATATATCATCTCCTCTTCCTGGACCATGGTTCTCATATCATTTAACATCTACTAAGTCTTCAAGATCCAGCCTAATCCACTCAGCCTCCTCTGACATCCCACTCTCTTCACTGGTGGGACCTCGTGCTCCTCCTCAGCCACTGTACAGTCTTGTGTGTGTGTGTGACAGTCACCAGTATGGACTGTCAGCTTGCTAGCATATAGAACCACCTGAGAGCTGAGCCTCTGGGCATTAGCTGAGGTTGGGAGAGAGACCCACTGGATGGTGCCATTCATGGCTTGGGAGGTCCTGGACTAGAGAGTGAAGAAAAGGACCTGAGCAGCATGTGAGCATTCATTGTTCTCTTTGCCCTGAGGCTGTAATGTGACCAGTGACTTTAGGTTCCTCTTGCCTGGATTTTCCCACCATCATGAACTACACTTCATCTGTGAACTGAAATAAAGCCTTTCTCCTTTGAGTTGCTCTTACCCAAGTATTTAACACAACAATAGGAAAAAAGAACAAAAGAAAAAAAAACAAAACTAAGACACATGTAAACATTCTTTAAAGCAGTATTTCATTATAACTTTTGAAACAACAGTTTTGGCTGGGGGCGGGGCAGACTTCTTTGCTGCACCTGCAGGAGTGGAACTGACAGAGACTGAGGTGGTCTGGTTCTGGCAACTGCTGCAAGTGAACCGAGGAGGAAAGGACAATACAGCAGTAAAGACTAGAAGGCCGACCCAGAGAAACATGCCCCAAGCCCAAAGCAGCAGGAACCACTACCTTAGTGGCTTGAAATGTTGGCTTTTTTTTTTTGGTTGTTTGTTTTTATATACATGCTTCCTAAAGTTTAGAGGAATGAAAGATTAATCTAGCAACAGTGAAATATAAGTTAACACAAGGAACTGGAAAGACATAAATTAGCAGGTTTATGAACAGCCTAACAAACCTATATGTTTTTATAAGAATGTTCAGGAAGAGGAAGTGCTATAGGGAATAGGTAAAAGAGATGTAAGAAACATATCTGAGAATCAATTTCTATCTCAATTTTTTTGTTAGAGGTGTGGATGTAAGGAGGAAAATATGACTCAGTTAAAATGGAATGGGAACTGCAACTATAGACTTATAATAAACAGGAAACTAACAGAAGCCAGCCATAAGGAGCCAACATCTGGGCTAAGAGAGAGGAGGGTTGAAGAGGCAACAGGATGTCTGAGTGCCTTGTAGCAGTGAGCTGGGAAGCTGGTCTGAGGCTATGGTGTGAGGTAAAGTCAGAGCCACAAGGCTGAAGGATGAATACGTGGAAGCCTGAAGAGGAATAAGGAGGCCATTGAGTGAAACATGGAGAACCCTGGTACTTATGTAAGGGGTGTGGCAGAAGAGAACAAGAACATGAAAATCAAAGTGGAAGAGGCTTTCAAGAAAAGGCACTCAAGTGGCAGAGGCAGGAGGATTTCTGTGAGTTCAAGACCAGCCAGGGCTAAATAGATAAACCTGTCTCAAAAACAAATAAACAAAAACAACCTATTACTGTGAAAGTCAGAAGTTACTCAAGAAATGAGAGGTGCAATCAGGCTTGGTAGACAGGGAAGAAACCAGAGAGGTGAAACTCAAATCTGGGTACTTTAAAAGTCATTATTTTTTTCTTTTGAGGTAGCTAAAGAAACAAAACAAAACAAACAAAAAAAAAAACCCCAAGAGATTTTTGGCATCATCAAAATCAATAAGACTAGATTAATAGATGTGTCAGGTAGGCCTAGGGGCACACTCTCAAATTCTTGGTAGGCAAATTGGCACACTTCTAACTATCAAAAACAACAGTGAGTAGAATGAATTGAATCAATAAAACCACATGAATAAATGAAAACTGGAGTTCCATATGATGGTAGAATGTTAAGTATCATAACTCATGAAACCTGTGAGCACAATAAAAAGACACAAAGAGAATGTGTGTAAATCAAAGATTAGAGATCTTTAATCCAGAGGTTGGCCTTATAGTCGCTAACACTAGGTTAACCACACATCATCTGTGCTTTGATATGAAGCATGTTGTATACATACTACTGACTACATTGTATCCCAAGTGCTAAAGCAAACTCACTAAGTGTTTATAATTTCCACCTTATTCATAAACACAGGGCACAGAAGAAAAGACTAAACAACACAGCCAGAAAGCAGCACCCAAACCAACCTCCATAACTACACAATTCCATATTATTTTAGACACATCAAGAGGCGAGGCTGTTGAATGGTTCAGAGAAATGTGAATCTGATCAGTGTCCAATGGAACAGTTACAGTGGAGTCTTCAGAGCTCAGCATGTTCAGTGTAGCTACTTGAGGATGCTTGCAGCTATAGTTGAAGCAACTGAGAGGCAGAGGCAGGAGGATTTTGAATTTGAGGCAAGCTTCGATGATTATACAGCAAGACCTCACTTGAAACAAGAACAGCCTGAAAGTAGTCCTTTATTTTAGTTTTCTATACTGTAAATACAGTGCTTCTGTAGAAAACATGACATTAACATAACTGTAGAGATGGGAGTTCTTGGGGTAGGGTAGTGAGACGTCGTGGGAGCTCTGACACTCCAGAGATGGTTTCTTAGCCTCTGGAAACAAGCGCATTTGTGAAGCGCAGGGTAAGAATGAAGACATAAAGATAATATACAAAAAAATCTTTCACTTATTATCCGTCTTTCTGGACTTTGAATATACAGCATGAATAAATGAAGATGAGGTTTGATGGTATTTTAATGATAGTTACTATATTTCTTGAGCTTTCATGTGTTAAGCATTTTATATTCATTAATTCATTGAATTCTTATAACCTACCCCTTTCAACTAGTAACAACAGACTTCAAGTCCAAATGCCACACAGCAAAATATCCAATAATTCAACCCATGTCTGACTCCATAGCCCTTCTTCTTAACTACTAAATTATATGATCCCCAAAATGTTGTTAAAAAACAGATGCTGTGGCTCACATCTATTATCCCAGAATTTGGGAGATGGATGCAAGAGAATCAGGAATTAAAGGGAGCCTTAGTTAACATAAATTCTAGGCTAGCCTGGCCTACAATGATACAAAAACAAACAGAAACAGAATCAAGAGGCAGGTGAGATGGCTCAGAGGGTAAAAACACTTGAGGTGGATGGCTGGAATCCACAAGGTGGACAGAATGTCCCTCTTTCTGACTTAGTTGCCTCTCACCCCAATAAACAAAGCCACTAAAAGAAAAACCAAAACAAATCCCAAAAGATCAAGTTACATGACCAGCTGAACAAGAAACAGCCTTTACTAACCCAGCACCCTTCATCTTAAGGAGAGTGGGAACATTAATAAAAACCATGATTTAATATGCCGAAGGCATCAAGATTTAAGCCAATTTCACTGCATGAATAATAACTTCTTATGGAGTCAGGATATGATGATTCACACTAAGATGAAGTAGTCCTTGGTCATTTTAACTTATTTAAAAAACACGACTCTGCCTTTCCCAGTACAAATTGGAACCTATTTTCTTTCTCACAAGCTACAACCTCCCAAATGTAGGCTAAGCGTTCACTAAGAGTGTGTGCTAAAGTAGGCAACCATTAATAAAAACAACTCTGAACACTAGTCACCACACTTTAGCAATTTCTATGTAAATTGTTTATTTGTACTTATTTACCCTTCATTGTTCTCCACACAATAGAAAAATGCAAATGAACAAATCAGAATGCAGCCCTAATGGGACTCTCTGTTTATAACCATTAGCCCAGAGGTGTGCTGTAAT